ACAGAGCTATGCCTTCAATATGACGCCGACACACGAAACATGGGCGCATATGACATCGCCATCTGGGGATGGTCCGCGAGCGCTGAAGTGATTATCATCGATATCAGACATTAACATTATCGATTATTGAAAACAAGGATTTCAGAAACGTGCTAAAACAGCCGCGCGCACAGAATGCTAAAGCCGAAGCCTTTCTGACCTTCGCGCGCGGACGGGTCCCGATGGCCAGTAGTATTTCGACAAAGACATTATCACCCAGCCACCAGCATGAAAGCGACATTGTGCCAGCAGCATGTATATCCTTCATTGAAAGCACCATGCCGGATCACCACACCGACAGGCGACAGAATCACCGCCAATCAGCCGACGGCGTATCAATCATTGAGTTTGAAGATGACAGTGATGACATCGTCCTTAAAGACCAGATATCGAATCAGGCAAACCGACAAGGAATGATATTACGGCATTTGCCGACCAAAACTATTATCGTTACGCCAGTTTTCTTTCGACGACGATGACAGCGGTGGTCATCAGATCGAAAGAGCGTCCCGCCCCGAAAACGACGTCATTTCGGGATACGGCAATCGTTAATCAAGAAATCCGGACACGCACAATACAGCATGAAACAAGACTTCAGTCTTTAAATCGTGTTATGGCAAACAGTCTGGTATTAGCCCCTAACGATTCGAAAAACGGCGAAATCGGTATTTCATTATCGCGTCAATACATCTCGATTTCGGCAATATTCTCATGCCGATTTCACTTCAGAACCGGGAAGTCGCTAACAAATTTATTGAAATTAATCGTTTTGAAATGTCGAACATTACGCTTCAGTCTTCAGCAATTAGTTTCTTAAAACAATTAATGTTAATTTTACCATTTCCATCAAGAAGTATCCACCACGTAAAATGTCGACGTAACTACCTTCGAGGTCGCGTAATATCGACCGTATTCGTCATCGATAGCCCGCATTTCGAAAGCCCCACGATAATCATCAGCCTGGGACAGGAAGTTAGCGTTTACCTTCGTTAAACCATACTTTATTTATTTATTTTGCTTAGATGGGCGATGTTCATCAGCGAAAATAATATCGCATTTGAATTACGAATTATATTGAAAGGCCTTTGTTCAGGTGAATGAAACTGACCATAATCAGATGAGACGCAGAGTCAGCTCTTCCGTTCAGTTTACCAGTTACCAACATCAACCAGTTTTTGGTCGCGCATGTGACGATTAGTTTTCTCATCAAAATCTTTTCTCAACAGCATAGACTGAGCAATATTTAAACAAGACATCCGGCATCATTACCATAAACGCATCATTCATTACCTGCGCAGTTTCAGATTGTCAATCGGTGTCAACACTCAGTCATCGTATCACGGCAACGCCATTGTTCACGTTACCGATCCCAGACAGCCGATCGCTGTCAATAGTTGCGGGAAACACATACACGTTAATAGCGAATGAATGCTTCTTTAGAAGCTCATTTATCATTTCGTTAACATTCCGTTAACATTCGGGCCGAGTACCGATCAACAAATTTAACATCTCCATCGCAAATCGAAGCCATCAACATTCAAAAGAAACAATAACGTACCATAGTCAGCAATCGAACTCAGTCTGCGTTGTACCACCGTATTAATACTGAAATCTCGATTCGTTCTACAAGCGAATAGCGAGCCTGGTCTGCTGGCGATGATCGGTCAGCCATGAGGGGAATCAAAACTTCAGTCATTCGTGTTTACGTATGGTCATATTCGTCTACAATATCAGCGGCGCCAACACGCAGTTGGCGTTCACTTATCATCCATTCGCTTTCGATCACTACGTTAAAACACGCAACGAAAACAGATCGGTTAATGAAGGTCAATAACTTCAAGTTGACAAAACTTCATTTCGCATGCAGTTATAGAATACGACGTAGCCCCGCGTTCATTTCCGATAATTTCAACCTACCTGTTTGTTTGATTAATTGCTGATTTAGCATAAACGCTGTTTCTTTAACGAGCGAAAAGATGCGTTTATCGAATATTGATATATCCTCACTCGTAATTGATGAGCGAGCGGTGTTCCATCGTCACAGACGGCAATATTCGAATTGGTTAACGCAGACGAGAACAATTAGCCCGTGTCATCATTGGCAGTACAGCGGGGCCCCAAAGCTCGCCATTAGTTTATCATCCAGATTATCAATAGCATCGTATCTTCAAAATCAGTAACTGGGCACGTTTAATATATTGACAATGTCGAAACCGGTTGAAATGTCAATGCCAGTAGATCACTTACTAGACCATTATTTCTATTGAATAAAATGAAAGGTTGATCGAGTGATTAGGTTCGGGGATTGAATTGTGTTATCGATCATTTCACTGTCGAGTTCTTGATTACTTTATTAACATTACCAATCGGTTGAACCGAATGTCAAAACGATAAAGACGGAAAGCGACAGCGAAGTGCTCTTTCGACGAAGAAATTATCGTTTTAATCACGATCCGACGTTGTCACGCTGGGCAAAGTTGGCGAAGTTCGAATATGATTCAAAACGAACCGTTGCATGTCCAGTTAAATCATCATGTACCTCGGCCTTTAACGAGAAACAAACACGCTTCAGGAAGTCATCGTCAGCGCATTGCGTTCATTATGTTTTCGGTTTTGTTACACAAAGCCTTTCATCTTCATGAGTTGATAAGTCTCTTTATCAGTTCTCAACCAATGTTCGAAGAGGTTAAAACAACCATCTTCGAGATGGCCTTTTCTGATATCACCGAAATTGGCCAGTAAGTGTCAATCAAACCATTTATCTGCCAAGACGGCCTATTGAAAGAGAAATTATCGGAAACGCGCACTTCCGCCAACAGACCAACATCATTGCCGATGTCATCTCAGCAAGCCTGTTCGGGTCCCCTTGCCCAGATCAGGAAACTATCAAAACAAGTATCTCCGGGAATTGGGCTATCAGATTCAATATCGACGTTTATAGTTTTCCGTCAACTTCACCAGTTAAACCATGCCGGAACTGAAAACAATACACAGCCGATGCGAAGCTGGGTATCAAGAGCGAAGATGCATATAGCATGTCACGTTCCACACCGGATTGAATTGCTTGTACAGCCGAATCATAAAACTATTGTTTCGGTTCAATATATTTTACCATTTAGCATTGTCAATGCCGTTGCGGGGCAGACAGACGATTCGGTCTAACCAGACCAGAATAAACAGCCGATCTCGGTTAATTCAACATGTCGCCGACAGAACGAAATCTGGACAAGGATTGATAACGACTTGGCATCATTTGTTGTCATAAGCCCGATTTCGTGAAATCGAAGGCCGTGTTGTCCATTGAAATCAAGCTTGAAAGCAGCATTAACCAGCAGATTAATCCCGCACCGAAAGCACAGCCAGCATCAAAGTTACCTGAAACAATATCACGACATACTCATCACAGTTCGATTGGCGTCAGTTGCCGGTTGAGCGACGAAAGTTTCAAGCGATAAATAAATAGTGCCGTCTCTTTGAAGACGATGACAAAGAGGTTCTGTTGATAAAACGGAGTAGTAGAAAGGGCACCAGCACATTGTAATACCCATCAAAAGCCGGAAGCCGCCCATTGACATTCACGGTTCACTACCGCGAAATATACGCGTTCTGCCGTATGCTTCAGCCGTTCATCGGGTCATTCCAGTTATGCGGCACGAAAGTTCGAATAGACAACCTGATCATTGAACGTAAACACTGCCAACAAAGTCGTCAATCACCGGACCGTTGGTAACCGAAAGCCCAGCCAGCACCAGCGAAATGAAGCACGATCACGACATTCGCCCGGTCAACACAGTGGAGCTCGACCTCGATCTTCAATGCCTCTTCGACACGCACGGCTCCTCGTGTTCATTTCAACAGTTTTCGACGTCAATCGAGAGAGGCGTAAACCGACACAAAACAGAGCCCATTACTCCGCCGTCAAACCAGTACGAACAATACCGTTCAATTCACTCGCACACAAACACAACGAATACCGTCAGCCATCAAACAGTATCGGCGTATTACGGTTCACCACTGTTGTCATACTGGAACACACCGCCCGTCGGCCCACCGAACAACCGGTGACAAACAATACTGGTGTTCGCCCTCACGCCTGTCACCATCCACCACCGTCCATCAGTATCGTGCTCGCCATCACTGGCCCACAACAAACCAAATGACAGCCCACAGACAAATAAATCAATAATGGTTCACCACCAACAGCGTCAGTTCACATCGAATATCGGTCACTGGTTAAATGTTCTCCGTCACCAAAACACCGGAACTGGCCTGTTACCATATCATCAAACCAAACGATACGTCTGGTTTCCAAAACGATCAAACCAGCGTCACCGGTTCATCTTCACCTGCCACTTCCGGCATCAAATCGGGTGATCACAAAACACCACGGTTCAAATACCGAACCATCCATTGAAACCCATTCCACACACACCAACCAGAACACACCAATTCCACTTCCACACCAGGCACAAACAGCCCCACTCCACCACATTCCCTGACAAATCATATCAACACACACCATTCCACACCAAACAGAAACACAACACTGAGCCCCACCAGACACCACTGTTCACCTCACTCCACTGGACTGAACTGACAAAGAACTGGCATCAAACACACTGACAAAACTGGTGAACACAAATACACACAAACCAGACACAAATCACACAACCACACACAACCATTCACTCCACTGAACACCAAACTTCAGTGAGCCAAATCTGGAACCACTACAAACCAGAACAACACACATTCCACACATCACAACACACACAACACTGGACACACATGAAACACCAGACACGACCACACACAGACAGACACAAGGACCAAACACACAGGAGGAGGAGACAGACACACTGCACACACACACACATGCATGGACATGGAAAGGAACACAGCACGAGAAAAAAAGGTGGTGGACCAGTGGTGGACCCACAGTGGCTGAGGTGGACCCAGAGATGCAGTGGCCAGAGGTGGACCAGTGGACCCAGGAAACTTGGAGCCGAAAAGGGTGTGGAAGCACACAGTGTGGTGTGGTGGACCAGTGTGTGTGTGTGGAACCAGAGCCCAGGTGTGCAGGTGTGTGGATGGATCAGCCCAGTGTGTGGACCAGAAAAAAAGGAATGGTGGCTGAAAAGGTGTGTGGATGGACCCAGTGTGGTATGGACCCAGAAAGGTGGTGGACCCAGGGTGGAACCAGTGTGAACACACACGGAAAAGAAAAAGGTGGACCAGGAAACCTGAGCTGGACCCAGGAAACCTGGCTGACCCAGGAAGGTGGTGGACCAGTGTGGTGGACCAGTGAAGGAAACGGAAATGGTAGGTGTGGTGGATCAACCGACTGACATCGAAAACCCAGCAGAGACCACATTGAGACCCAGACATGGAAGGAAAGGACTGTGGCCACTGGACACACAGAGCACAATGGATCGGACATGGATCACTGGCCCTAGACTGAGGATGGCCAACGGATCCAGGAAAGGACCAGAGCCCCAATGGATCGATCATCAGACCTGACCACACAACAGACACAACATACAACAGAGACTGCATGGCACATGTATAACCAAGTGGAGACATCAGCCAGATATAGGGACAGTAGATGGAAATGTGGTAATATTTTAGGGACACAACGAAAATTGGATATATAGGGATTGTGGAATATGTGGATTGGAATAAATAATGAAATAATTTGTAAAGGAATAAAGGAACACAACTTTAATGGTGGAATGGAGTGGAATACAACTTGGATGCATAGGATGGATGGAGTGAATTAAACAATAAAACACAGTGTTATTAAAATGGAAACGCAGATTTTATTCCCATAATTAAATATAATAATGGATGAGAGTGAGTATATTAGATAAAAATGGTGGGGATCTCTAGAATTGGCTGGGTGGAAAGGAATGAAGGAATGAAGATGGATGGAATTATTTGTTCAGGGGTTTTGTAACAGTATTGGATAGCAGGAGCTTAAAAGTGAAATATAATGAATAATAGTGGATGGATTTACAGCCAAGGTGACCAGGGGCACCATGTAATGGTGGAGAATGGATATTAAAGTGGAATGAAGACAGTGGAGAAGGAGTTGGAAACGAAGAAGTTGACAAACTTGCTAAGATGGCTTGCAACGCTCAGCAGCCAGATATTGAATCTATTAAGCTAATTCCAAGAGATTACTCTTGTTTGTCATTTCCTGTCTAGGGTTTGTCCAAACGAAAAGTTGACAAACTTGCTAAGATGTATTTGCAACGCTCAGCAGCAGCCAGACATTACTGGAATCTATTGGGTTTAATTCCAAGAGATTACTTTTGCTCTGGTTTCACAATAATTTCAATAAACGGCAGAATCTTGGCAAAATAAATGGGACATTACTGACACTAGCTACTGCAGAGACACATCTACTCTGTCCAGTAGTAAATAAACATTTAAAAATCGTCGGCGTTGTCGCAGAGATGAGATTGTTTTAATTCACCAGGCTTGGATACTGTGGATTGAAGGCATAAAAGAATCATTTTAGATAAAGATCTTATCTCCTCTATGCGTGAAGTCCAGCTCATGAGAACTAACGTAAGGCTCATAAGTAAAGAAACTGTGCTTTACCAAAACCAAAAACATTTTATAATGAACACAATAGATTCTTGAAGATAATTTAATGTATGGCTGCATACAGAGAGTTGTGTTTCTGACTTCCTCGTTAAAACGGGGGGAAGCATGACACAATTTTAACCGAACATACATATATCAACAGTTTGTTTAGTTTTGGGCGCATATTTAAGGCTCCCCTAAACCTTTCCCCTTACCTACTTCATAACTGCCGCTAACGGCAATAACAATATCTGATCGGTCATTGGTTGTTTCCGAATTAAAACAATAATTTCTCATCAAAAGGAAAATACTTCCTTTGTCACTTCCATCTTTATGACCGTTTGACATTCTGAGCCTTTTCTTTTCCATATCGTATGGTAGTATGTTAATAAGTAATCAAAAGAACCAAATCCATAGTGAAAGTGCTTCTTATGTCAAATTCTTTTAATTCCGGATTTACAAAATCCTCCCAGGCTCATATGCCGCAGTAACACTCAGTCCAACTGCTCATTTTTATTCCGAAATAGAAGCAAAGTACTGTAAGTCCCCATGGTCCCTAGCATGGTGATCTACCATCAGTTGTTAGTAACCCATAGCCCGGTTTTATATTGTATTGTCAACTATAAGCAAACTGTTTTAGATTTAGTTACTAGTTTTAAATTCATTCTCTGTGATAATCTAGTTATTTTACTGTCCCTTTCGTAGGCAGGCTTTTATAATTTTACTATTACTTACTTTGCGTACAATTTAATTGTTCCCGTCACGATATGGCTGGAAATATTGCCGATGTGACGATAAACTTTAAACTCACCTACCTACTCATTATTCTGAAATTATTTTTATTGGGGTCATATTAATATTCGTCACCCGCATCTTTGCCTTCGATTAAAATGTTTTGTTCTCTCCATCCGAAACAATTGGATGTAAACAAAACAAAAACAACGATTGAAATTATCAAGAATAGACAATAGAATACATCATGTTCTAAAATGCATGTACATGCAGGGAATAAAAATCGAAGACCGGGATTAGGATTAGGATTTCATCACAGTGGAAGTAGCGCCTGAGGCTAAACGTTTGGGATCTATTTGCAACAACTATATAGGCCGATACTGATTTCTCTTAAATGTTGGTAGAACTGTTTGAACTGAATTTACGTGGGGGTTTTAACAATAACAATAGAAGGTTAAATTGTGTGAAGTCCATTTCTTGTGAGCCCCAGTCGTAATATTGCTGGAATATTGCTAAAATAGTCGTAAACCTAAACTCACTCATTCACTCATATTAACATGCTTAAGCGTTTAGTGTTTGTAATGTGGTTTCCGGGGACGGGGTAGATGGTAGAAGCATATATGCTTGTCAACTGGGTGAATATCTGGGATCGATTCCCAACATGGTGACAATGTGTACCACGTTGCCTTGTTCACGTGGGTGACATTGATACTTCTGAAAGCGGTGTAAAACCATTCTCACTCACTTAAATGTTATTTAAGAACAATTGGCAGTATTGTGCATGGTTAGGTCGTGTACACTAATCTGTTCAAGACTATGCAGGTATGAATGAGTGGCCATTATATAATATAATGATTCAGATGGAGTCTAAGTAGGGATCCTAGTCTGATTTAAATTATTGCCTCCAGTGAAATAACAACAAGCCAGTTATAGATATATATTTTTTTCAATAAAATCTTTTATCAACAGTATATCATCACATACACGCATTGTGGTAAAAAGACTAGTTAAGTGGTGAGAATTTACTGTTAAACTGAACGGAAGGGGGGTAACTCTTGCATCTGTCTGTTATAGTGGGCTTATTTACTCACCTGCAAAAAGACAAAAACATAATATTATTCATAATTCATGCAATTTTTATTTTCACTTGTAAGTTATCTCTTCCATACAAGTATTGTTTTAGCAACAATAAAAAACACCTTACTCTGTCCAAACATGTCAATTGTCTATCACTGTAAGGAGCTCAGGGGCGTCTGCTACAGATATCAATGATATTTGCTGACAACTATTGATGAATGACCTGGTCATTATTACACAGTAACCTCAGAAGAATAGTATTTAGAGTTACATAACCCTTTCTTTCTTGACAACTTATTTTACATGTGGATATTACTTCTGTACCCCAAGTGAATTAAAAATGATTTGTGTTGTTTAAGAAGCTAAGTAGTTACTGAGAACTTTATATGACAGTTTTACATATGTTGTCATAGAAAAGAATTCACATTTCAAAACAGTGAAATTTCCATGGCCAATAAATTTGTGCAACCTCTCACCAAACCAGTTACCACAAAGTGCAAAATGTCAACATGAAATGTGCAAATGTTAAGATGTACATGTATACCAATATTCCTAATCATAATGTGTGTTTCAGAGTAGTTTGAAAGTCATTTAGGAATATACAAAGACTGTTTACTATGTACAATTTCAGGGATAACATGTTTTAGGAAATGCTTTATTCATGTCATCTTGTATATATCTTGTACATGTGTCCAGTTTCTTGGAATAACATTGCCATATAATTTAAGAAATGGCCATCAGTTTCAAGTGGATTTAGGCTCTTTTCAATCTGTGAAATTGTATATCCACTCATCATTCAAAGGAAATGGTGTAATTGTGGTAAGTTTTCTTGTATAACAGTAATAGTTTAGTCAGCAAAATGCCATAATAATATTTCACGTATATGCTGGTCATCCAGATTGCCTGTTCACCGCGCTGCATACATTCCTGTCCCTGATCATACCTGATCATACTCATAGGACACCATCACACTTTCTCATACTTCTTAAACTCAACGAGGAGCATACATACATGCTGCCTGTTAAACACAATGAACTAATCGCTCACATTGCCAGCACATCCTCACGGGTACCCATTTTACAGCTGGGTGAACTGAGACAATATGGAACTAAGTATCTTGTCCAAGGATACTACGCAAATGTGCCCATCCCCCGGGACCCGAACCTAGGTGCCTCCTCCGGGGTCCAAACCAAAGGCTTCGGCATGATATTGCGCTCCACAAACTGGCATTCTGTACATACTGTATTTAAACAGCATGTACATTCATAGAAAAATATTTTTAATAATCAGTCTGTACTTCGTGTTATCACTGATATCAGTGATGAAATAAATCACACTCAACATGTGGACCATCCCAAGCTGGCAGATGTATACATGTATGCATATATTTCAGTATTGACAACAATCAAATTGGAAACATATGTAAGAAATATATACAATTTGCTGGCATATACAGATACCATAATATTGAATACATAATTACTCAGCAGGGGAAGAGACAAATGCAAGTAGTCTTGAGTCAGGGGTACTGACTTACTTTATGAAAATTGTGTATTAATGTTTTGTATGTCTATATTTTAAACCACAGTATATGTTGTGATGGTACACTTTCAATACCTCACAATACATGCATTCCATAACCATTATTTTAGGTTTTGTCGTCATTTTCTTATTGTTATTGCCATGGGAAACGCATATTCCTCTCTTCTCAAACTGTCATCATGAACCTTTTTTTCCTACAGAACATGTATACATATGCTTCACCATTTCAAACATCCCTGCCTTTCTATGATCTTCTACTCAACAACCATGCAGTTAAATGCCACTCCCAAAATGAAAAACTTCACATGAAAGATTATGCTGTTGATAACTTTCACGACGAATAGTTGTTTAAGGAATAAGATAATTGGTGACAGCTACCT